GTCCCGTGCTCGGAGGCGTGGACGTGACATTCTCCGAAACTTCTGCCTCTGGCGGAGGCTTTTTCAATGCCGACTTCACAGATGGTGGTGGCGCTGGCACTACAGGCTGTGTTAGAGGACGCGACGAGCTCTTCGCCTGTGAGTCTTCAGCCAATAAGGAGCTCCTAACACGCAGGAACACTTTAGGTAGAAATACTTTAGTATTACTACTCCCTTACCTCTTCTTCCTTTCCGCCTTGCCCATACCAGCAAGGGCTTCCTCCTTCTCGAGAACAGCAGCATCCTTCTCTCTCTTGTACGTCACAATGAGCCTACCCACCATCATGACCATCACCGGCCACCCCAGCAACCTCCCCACTTCGCGCTTTGAATAGCCTCGCATCTCGCCTCAGCAGCCATCCGTTTGAAATCGATGTTGCGTGTAGCCAAGTCAGCATATTCATCTTTCAACTGTCGTATCTCGTATCGTAGTTGTCGTGCAGTAGCCTCCGTCTTCTCCTCACTCGCTGACAACTTCCCCGATTGCAGCCTGAGCCGACACCGATCGAGCCACGATGGGAATACCAAATGTGACGATACCTTTTAATTCTTTCCTCAAGTCTATTCTGTTGCTTGTGTCCCTCCGCCAGCTCCTTCGTGAGCTCCTCGACCCTCACTTTAGCTTGGAGGAAGTCGTCGTAGGTCGCCTTGTACCGCTCTGGTAAGTCCACCAAATTACGTATCTGACCTCGCAGACAGTAAGATTCAGATGAGGTCCGGAATCGGCCTACAGCAACCTCCCATCCCTTCTCAGCCCCTCGAACTGCATCACCAATTGACGACTTCACACGCAGCAGCTCTCCACGCAACGCCTCCTTCTGGACCCTACAACCACCATAAGGCCCCTCCTAAGAAGCACCAACCCTACTTATGCTCCTCGAGGGCCGCCTTGAGCTCCTTTACTTTAACATCAGCAGCTGTTTGTAGACTAGCCAAGGCCCGCTCTGAAGGGTAGGAGGAAAAGGAAGGCATTGAGCTCCTCTATTTTCTCGAACGCTCCGAACCACAATAGCACATTTCTGGAGACTACTGACCCCGAGGAACTGAGTGCGCGCGCTGATATTTCTGTTGCTACTGCTGCTGACTAC